ACAAAAAAAAAAAAATAAAAGGCTATTTAAACTTACTTTCATTTGTAGTATAAGGTCATCTACTGGTTTCCGGGTAATTTCTGGTGAATCAAACTTTTCAAAATCACTGTTAAAAACAGCAGAAGAATATAATCTAAAAAGGAAACAAAAATATAATGTTTGCATTTGGTACCTAGTTTACGAGTTTACAAAGGTACATGCTGCAAAGGACCTTAGGATACATAACCACAGGGCAACAGGAGCTGTATTATGGACCAGTACACCGGGGTAACAACTAATCATCTTGAAAGATGTACTGGGTTCTTTAAAGTGCACATGAGCCAATTGTGTCCACTGGGCCTATGGTTTATAGTCCTTATGTGGGAGGACTTGTTCTACCACCAGATCCATAGGCAAGTGTGTCACCTGTACTGATATTATGTCTGTAGATTGTGGCACCCCTGCCTTAACTACTCAGCCATTCGATTCGCCTACAAACATTATTGGAAACTTAAAGAGATTTTTTGTTGGTGAAAGTGTTTGCCTTCAAAAATCCAAAGTCCTGTGTCCAAGCATCATTAGATAAACCTCCTTACATCATCAAGGATCTTATGGTTATCTCAAGGTGTATGGACCCCCTTAATGAACTACTATGTTAAAAATTGTATTTAATAATGTAATTGTATATTTCAATACCTGTAGCTATGACCTGGCTCAGTTCTGCCGGCTCGTCCTGACCTTTGATCGGCTGATGCCTTTGACGTCCAGGTGATCTTAAATGATGACACACCTGTTACATTATCGTAGTAACGCTTTTTTACCTGTACATATAAAATCAACAAATTATTGAAAATTAAATTTACCATATCTTAACACCTACTTTTCTCTATTCAGCTAAAAATCTGAATGAATGTATGCAGAATTCTAAATTAGAGTGAACTTACCCGTCCGGTATCAACAACATACTTGATACCAGGGATTGTGAGCGATGTCTCGGATACATTGGTAGAGATTACACACAGCCTAGTTCCTTGAGGAGGGGGCATGAACACTTTAGCTTGTTTGTGTGGAGGTAATAATGAATACATTGGCAAGACATACAAAGGAATTTCATCTACAATGGATGGGCCTAAAGCGTCTGCCTGGAACGAAGACAATAGGATACAGAATATGAGTCAATGCTATAAATCAATGATGAGTACACCATGTTAAGTGTTCATTATACCGTTACGTGTGATCATAATATTACGTGCATTAAAACATGGTAGGTAGGTAGGTAGGTAGGTAGAAGAAATTCTTATTAACATATTTGATGTACTTACTATCTTGTCATCATCATCTTCATCTTCTTGCTCACTCTCATCATCCTGAAGGTGCTCATCTTCTAGCACCTCACCTTTATCTTCCTCAACCTCTTCTTCTTCATAAGGCTGTGTTGAGTAACTGTTTCATAAAAAGAAAAAATTTGAAACATTTGAAGTAAGCAAATGAAATATGACCAGTGGTCTCATAGGGAACCAGTCATATCTCCCCTAGCAAACTCGCCCCTTGCAAGCTTTCCCCATACAAACTCTCCCCTTGACAAGCTTGTTCCCTACAAACTCACCCTTTAACAGGGTTAGGCTGAAACTTTGAAAGGGTGGTAGTTTGTAGGGGTGGCTGTGTATATTTATGAAGCGAGTTTGTTAGGGGGGAGTTTGTAGGGGCAAGTTTGTCAGGGTAAGAGTTTTATAGGGGTGAGTTTGTTCAGGGGAAAGTTTGTACGAGACGAGTTTGTCAATGGGGCGAATTTGTAGGGGGCGAGATTGCAAGGGGAGAGTTTTCTAGGGACGAGTTGGCTGGAATCCATCTCATACTGTAAGATAGTCATATGTTAATATTAGTTATCCTTTTGTCACACTCACCTGTCTAAATTAATTCTAGGTAGTTTAATTTTCTTAAATTCTCTGTCCTTTTCTTCTTCCAACTCCTCATCATCCTTTTCTGCTTTTGAGTTAGCTATTAGAAAATAATAAATTAATGATATATTATTAACATTATGGAAAATATCCAGAAAATAAAATACAGATCATCCTTACAAACCCTCTAATTTTTACGATAAACAAATATTAATAAAATTTCTAAATTATTATTCACAAAACAAAACCAATTCTTGACAACTATCCAACAAACAAAAACACAGCCTCACCTGCTTTCTTATGTTTGAAATTTCTCAGTTCATATCTTGCCTTTAACTTCCGACAAAGTGTGTTGATCTCTCCTTGGCCGGTAACAAATACTAGAATGCCACCTGGTGGAAGGGTTCGATGGATTTTCAATACCTGTAAATGAGATCACATGACCTTAAATTGTCTCTGAGTCTATGCTAGTCCAACAGGGAGATTTCTCATATCCATGCTGTTACTGCCACTTCACATACATATACATAAATTTAATATGTTTGTATCTATAGCAATACATTGTGAAGAGCTAAAAAGTGTTCACAAATATCCAACGAGTTAAGCTGTAGCCTAATGGTTAAGATGCTCACCTTCCAATCCAGGATCCAGAATTAAAATCCTGTCAATTTCTTTCTGTAAGCCTTCTACTGGGACAATAGAAGGCATTAACATAGTCCCATCCTATTATTGTATTAATATGTCAACTCGAAAATCCTTGGTTTTTATATAATCAATGTTTAACAATACTGTATGTAAACATGTACAAATAATAATAAACACACTGTTGATTAGTTTATACCTTACGATAAGCTTCTGCTACATAATTTTCTAGAGGGGTTTTCTTATTGAAGTGAATTGTTACTGGAAACTGACGAGATTCAATCTGAAATTACAAAGAAGAAATTTATAACATAATAATACGTAATAAAGAATGGTAATGATGATAATAATGATGATGATTATGATGATGAATGATGATGAACTACAATTCTACTTCAGGTTAAATTATATATTTTGTTTGTATTTTAAATTCTTAAAATCAACTTTCAGTTACCTTAATAACAGGAGGAGTAACCTTGAATAGTGAGGTGTTTTCTGTGAAATCTTCGACTCTCAATGTTGCTGACATAATAATTAATTTCAGTGGAATTTCCTTCTGCAATTTAAACAAGAACAACATCAAGAATCCAAATAAAAGCATACCAATGCATATCATTTAATTTACATACAATAATAAAAATTACCTTGTTTCTTAATGGAACAATCCGAGACAATAAACCAATCAGAATATCTGTATACACACTTCTCTCATGGGCTTCATCTATGATGATTGCGGAGTACTTGGTTAGAAAAAAATCCTGCAAATCAAAAATTTTGTTTTTCTTAGTTTGGCAGTCACTAGGTGCTCACTTGAGCTATTAAAGCTTGGTTTCCATACAATCACTATACGCTATCACCGACAGCTTTCGGTGATGCTGATTGGTCTGTTGAATCGGGGAACCTTCCCGTCGGGGACTGCTACGCAGCCTAACGATTGCACTGAAAACATTGTAGCGACAGTGTAGCGATTTTAAGGAAACCTGAATTCTATATTTTATATTTGGTGGAAAAAGTTTGGTAAAGCGATAACTGTTTGCTTCCCCAATCATGAGGTTGGGGTTTCAATCCCTCCCCTGTGCATTTTCCTTTTGTCCTTGAGCAAGGCACATTAACTGAATTGCTTCTCTCCACCCAGGGGTAAAATGATGGGTACCTGGTGGAGTCGCCTGCTACTGCCTGATCATGGATAAAAAGAAAAACCAAATATAGCGGAAAAAAAAGGTGCTATTTAAATGCTCACGAGCATAACAATAAGTAATCATCACTATCCTTGTCATCATCCCTATCTTTAGTTATTTTTACCAACCTTTTGAATTTCCTTCAATAGAACACCATCAGTCATGAATTTCATTTCTGTTTCATTTGTAACTGTTCCTTCATATCGAATTTGGTACGATATTTTTCTAGGAAAAAAAAAATTCCATTTAATATATCAAATCTGCTTACTTTTATTCATTCTTTGTTATATTAAATGCTTAATACAAGACATATAATCTGTGCCTTATAAGTCAATGATTTATATATATTATTTATTACTCAATATAGCAATTGAAATTAAATTTAAAATAATTAAGATAAGTTACTTCTTTCCAAGACCCATCTCCTTGCCTACTCTCTGAGACATGTTGACAGCTGCAACTCTTCTAGGTTCAGTCACTCCAATCATTCCCTTCCTTAAAGACAAACGGAAAGGGTCAGTCCAGACCTCAAGGTGCAGAATGTGATGGAGAATGAGAGAAAGGGATTGCATGGGAGATTACACTCTATTCAAGTTATTATGGTATTGCTGGTCGGAAGACACATGAAGGAGGCTCACTTTGCAAAACCAGCTTCATACAAGAACTGTGGAACTTGTGTTGTCTTTCCACTGCCTGTCTCACCACAAATGATCACCACAGGATTCTCTTTTACAGCTTCCATGATCATTTGTTCCTCTGCCAGGATAGGAAGAGCCAATCTTGCTTCCTGAGAAAAGTAGACAAACAAGGTTGTGATTTAAGAAACTGTGGATAAGCATGGTGGGTGTATAAACAGGAGACAGGAGAAGTTAAAATTCCAACAATGAAAAAGTTTAATTAGGGTTAACGTTAGGGATTTGGTCATCATCAACACAAAAACAGAACATTAGCCCTTGTACACCCATGTTTAATGTGTTCTACATTAATGAAAAAGCTGGTTTGACTGGCTCATTTATGATGCCTTATAAGGTTAATTTTCAGACTACTATATGAGGCATGCCATCCCAAAAACAACATATTGTCGCTATATGTTAAACTGAGCAAATTAGTATTAGAATGTGGCAGAACCGTATACTTCAGTACACAGAAGCCATAATACATTTACCGTACCCATAACTTTTGCAATAATAAGTCAATTCCATTAAATGACCCATCATTTTTAAGCTTACAATGTGGAGAATAAGAATATTAAAAAGCCAATCACTGATGCTGGTTTTGGGATGGCAAGCCTAATATTCTGCAACATTGAATACAAGAAACCTGAACTTCTTGAGATCTCTTTAAAGGTACAAACACAGCAGGTTCACATTCAGACTGTTTAATACTTGACACTTTCTTATTTGATGCTTCTTTTGTCGCAATATCTGTCCGATGTGTTTCAGCGGTTTTTAAAGACTGATTCTGTTTGTTTTTTTCTTCTTTATATTCTGTTCTTTCTAAACCTTTCATTTTTGTGTCCTCAATTTTGTTTTCCTCCAGTTCAGAATCACTGTCTGATGCACTACTCTCTGTTTCATCTGAGGAAGACACCTCTTTCTTATTCTCCGTTTCTAAGCGTCTCCGCTTATTTGCTCCCTTTACACTATTTATACATAATATCTCGTTTCTTTTCAGCTGAACATCTGCATCTCTGTATACAAAAAGATGAAAGTGTCAATAAAAAAAAATGTCATGGAAATAAACCGGAATAACATTTTAGCCCTTTTCAAAAACATCTTTCTTACTTGTATGTAATTGCCAATATGTATTGTAATACAGATGTGATAAAATTTTTAGCTTATAGCAACAGGGTTTTCTTTATATGACCTTTAAATATCTTGATACAAGAATTTCACTACACCAAATGTATTTCATTGGGAATTAACGTATTAATTTATTTTTCCAAATGCAGTAACAATATATCAGAAAATTGATTGTTAATTGTTTGTAAAGTTAAATGTCTACAAGTATGGGAAGATGCCAAGGGCGGTGGAGTGCGGCCACAGTTTTGTAATCTATTTCAGCAAAGGAAGTTGTAATAAATGTAATCACAACTGAGGAGAGAAGGAAGGTACATGCCCTTAAATGAGGGTATAAAAACAAGTGTACTGTCACAGTATGTTAAACTGAGCAATAAGAATATGGCAAGTATATTGTATAATTAGTACAGAGAAGCTGTAATACTTTTACTCACAACTTTGGCAATAGTTAAAGTCGATTCCATTAAATGACCCATCATTACAATCATCATCATCATCATTACAATCATCATCATCATCATTACAATCATCATCATCATCATTACAATCATCATCATCATCATTACAATCATCATCATCATCACAATCATCATCATCATCATTACAATCATCATCATCATTACAATCATCATCATCATCATTACAATGTGGAAAAAAAAAGAATATACTAAAACATAAATTTTCATTTTTTTGTTTGGTCACTGGCCTCAAATGATTAGCTTTGCTGGATGGATAAGAGATTAGAATTTTAAATGTGACTTGTAGACTGTGATGAAACCAAACAAAATATACCGTTTAGTGGTTTTCTGTCCAAGGTGAGCAGTACATGTGAATAACGCCATCTCCTCAGGTGAGGCTTGATGCTCTGCTAATGATGTTAGAATATCTTTCCTCTGTGGATGACATCACAACAATTTTCATTAGAACATATAATAATTATTTTTTATTCTGAGATGCACATGCACAAAAAAAAAATATAAAGTTATTCTTCAAGGAGTTCTAATAGTGAATTCCTATTCTCTCATATCACAAAAAATCACCAATTTTTAAGCCCTAATTTATTTATTTATTTTCATTATTTTATTTATATATTTATTTTATTCTATTTTATTTATTGGGGCTGAGGGGGATAGTTAAGAAAGGGGCCAAGCTCAATTAGACTTTCTATTTCTTGGCTCCTATTGTATACCATTTGTTTGTTTTTTGCGTATACAATAAAGAAGAAGAACTTCCATACGGTACCTTCTCCTTCTTCGCCTTTCGTTGTAACACTTTCTCCAGCATCTTGCGTTTCTTTTTACTGAGTTTCTTTGGCACTACTTTGTCTTTGAACTTCTTGTGGCCTTGTTTTGTTTTCTTGGAAGGCAAGACGAGTGGGTTGCTTGCATCACATCCTCCATATCCTGATGTTGTTTGATTATCAACGATATCTACTTTTACATTAACAGGTTTTGGTGTCTTGCTATTATCAACAATCTGTCTTGCCTTGCTATTAAATCGAGGTTTGGAACGTCCCATTGTTGTTGGAACTCAGCTTCCACAAATCTGCATATGATAGGTTTTATTTTGTTTTATTTTTATTCATTTGGTATGATAAAAATACTGTAAACAGCATTATCAGAGGGGGAAGTTGGAGGATTGAAAAGCTCTTACTGCCGGATGGATGCCTGATTTGGGACCACAGAAAGAAATTGACACCAATTGACTACAATGATTACATTGTGATATATGAAGAAGCATATACTGTGAACGATTGCACAAAATCATAAGAAAAAGAATGAAATTGCAAAATAAAAGAAATTATGATGGCATCATAAATATTCACAATAGAACTTAGGCCTAGGCTACATTGAAAAAGTCCTCCTTCCTAGGCATAGGCTTTGCCAGTGAGCCGCCCGGCTGTCTTTTGGATGGCCAACAATTATTTAGGACAGCCGCTTTTACCACGACGGCTTGGCCTAATCAGCTCAGCCTAGCCTAATCAGGACTGGTCTACGTTTAGCAAATTCTTTATATTCTTCAAATCTATTGAATGTTACATTAAACTAAAGCTAATAGATCCTATTTACATTTGATCAAAACAACCTTTATTGATTGAAAGCCTGTTGTTTTCATACCAATATTCGGTGGGGATTCCCAAAAATGTCTACCCGGTGAGAAGTTCACTTCCAACACGCGTCATGTTAAAAACATTTACACCCCGCTGGAAAATGGACAGAGGTGCCCACAACACATGCACGTGGCTTTGCAAATATAATACGGTACTTAAGATTCGGTTCCCCGACATAATATTTTTGGTGTTCGTAACTCTCTGGTTATAATTAATTCATGAAAAACCATAAAGAAGATGTGTTGTTGTCACAATTAAACTTTTATTAGTCAACAAAATACAGTAGGGCTAGGCGTCTCTCGATTCGGAGGCCTAGAGTAGAATTTACACTAGACTATGACGAGAGATAAAAATGCATCTCCATAGCATGTGAGTAACCATAGCCGTGTGCAATCTATTTTTATAACTGAAATATATTTGTGATATCTTCAACACTATTCATTTGAAGACAAAATTCCAACATTTAAACACCTTTAAATGCTCTCTAAATATCATAATTTTCTTTTTTTTCTTCTTATGTTTGGGAGGGGCCATGGCCCAAGTAGGCATAGCCCGCCCATCGGCTCAGGGCCACCCCCACTGGCTTCCATTTTGGACGGCCTATTTCGTTTTTTTGGCTAGACCCCTGTTCCTAGGCCTAGCTAATTAATGTTTAATCACATGAAAATCTCTGTTTGAAGACATTAAATTTGTCACAAGTATTTAATACTAAAGCGGTGCTCATATTATCAGTGGCATACCTAGGGGGCTTTCAAAAATCACTCGTACTCCCCCAGGCGCCGCCCCCCCCCCCACTCC